GACTCGGGGCCTGCCATGGCTTCCTCGTAGCTGTTAGGGTCATCTTGACTTACTAGTGTCCCATCACTAATAAGTGTCTCACCTTCTGCAGTAATATGGAATCCATAGTAATGCTCAGGTGCACTCCTAACTCTCGTGGAACGCCTCAGAGGTACAGATTCGTCAATTGGCTCAACAGGAGTTTCCTCCTCAAGTTGAGGGCTAGAGTTTGAAGTTCCTTCACCACTTGACTCTTGAATTTCTTCAAGATCAATTTGCCTCCCACTGTCTCCTTGGCTTATAAACTCTCTTTCTCGAAAGACTCCTCTTCTTGCTACAAAGACCACATTGTCACTAGGTCTGTAGAAGAGGTAACCAAAGGATTGTTGTGGGTAGCCGATGAAAATACACCTCTCGCTTCGAGGTTCGAGCTTATCATGAGTCTCGCGTCTCACGAAAGCCTCGCAACCCCAAATCTTGATGTGGTCTAGTTTAGGTACTTTACCAGTCCACATCTCGTGAGGAGTTTTGGCAACTTTCTTTTAGGGCAGCAGTCTCTAAGGCATACCCCCAGAATGAGATTGGTAGCGAAGCTCGACTCATCATGGAACGAACCATGTCCAACAAGGTTCGATTACGCCTCTCAGCCACACCATTCAACTGCGGTGTCCTGGGAGGTGTCAATTGTGAGACAATCCCACATTCCCTTAGATAGTCGAGGAACTCTGAACTAAGATACTCACCACCTCGATCGGATCGAAGCATCTTAATGTTCCTGCCCAATTGATTCTCGACTTCCTGTTTAAATTCCTTAAACTTCTCGAAAGTCTCTGACTTATGCTTGATTAAGTAGACATATCCATATCTACTGTAATCATCAGTAAAAGTCAAATAATAACGATTAGCATCCCTTGTGGCATGTTTGAATGGTCCACACACATCCGTGTGTATAAGGTCCAACAAACCTTCACCCCTTTCACACGAGCCTGTGAAGGGTGACTTTGTCATTTTTCCAAGTAAGCATGATTCGCAACTATCATCTGACTTTAGGTCAAACGACTCCAAGACTCCATCCTTTTGGAGTTGGCCTATGCGTTTCTTGCTTATATGTCCAAGACGACAATGCCATAATGATGCTTTATCCAAGTTATTATTATTAGGAGAATCAATACACAAAACATTATTTCCTGAGTTATCTACAACAGATACAGCTTCATACACACCATCACAAGGTAATGCTTTAAAATAAAGAACATTATTAAAGAAAGCATTAATCGAACCAACTTCATTATCAAATGAAAAGGTGAAACCTTGTTTGTACAATGCATGAAAGGAAATAATATTTCTTGCCATTTCTGGCGAATAACAACACTTATTCAAATCTAAATTTAACCCACTACTTAGCGATAAAGTATAAACTCCAATCTTGGTGACAGGTGTAACTTTCCTATTCCCCATGATTAAGTTTATTCTTCCTTGCTCCACATTCTCACTTCTTCCTAGTCCCTGCAAGTCACAACAAATGTGAATACCACAACCGGTATCAAGGACCCAAGATTTCGAATGGGGTGAGTTATTAGAAATGATAGTGTAAATACCTGCATGGTTGGGTTTAACTTTCCCATCCTTCACATCTTGCTGGTATTTTGGGCAGTTCCGCTTCCAATGTGATTTTTCATGGCAATAGAAGCATTCAGCCTCTTTTGGGTCAGAAGAAGGAGTGACAAAACCTTTCTTGGTTCCACTTGAAGAAGAGCCATCAAGGGTCCTAACCTTGGTACCCTTCGAAGAACTCTTTCTCTTCTTCCCTCGACTTTTCCCGATTGCCAAAACCGGAGTGGAGTTTGGAGTAGGAGTGTTAACAACCGACTTCCCCTTAAGACCTGATTCTGCGGTCTTGAGAAGTCCCTGAAGTTTGCTGAGTGTGACCTCTTCCTTATTCATGTGATATGTCATGCGGAATTGATCATAGCACGATGGTAAGGAGCGCAAAATTATATCTATTGCAAGCTCCTCAGGGAAGTTCACATTAAGCTTCAGCAATCGATCCACATACCTTTGCATTTTCTGCATGTGGCTCGTGACGGAATCCCCGTCCTTCATCATGGTTGTTATCATGGAGCAGATGATTTCGTACCTCTCTTGTCGTGCACTTTGATGGTATCTTTCCATCAAATCTTGGTGCATTTCATAAGGGTAGAAATCCTCATAGGACTTTTGGAGTTCTGCTGTCATTGTGGCCATCATGATGCATGCTACTTTCGTAGCATCCCTTTCATGTGCCTGAAAGTCAGCGATCTCCTGAGGAGTTGCAGTGGTCTCATCAATCTCCTTAAGCTCCTTGTCGAGGACATATTCTTTGTCCTCGTAGCGGGTAATCATTCCTGATGTTTCTGATCCACTCATTGAAGTTGGATCCATCAAAAGTGACTTTCCCACACAAGCTCATAAGAGTAAAGGAGCCATTAGGATTCGAGCCAGAAGCAGCATTGTTTGAAGACATCTGAAGGAAGAGGACAAGATTAGTTTAGATATTAGAGAGTCCTTAATAAAACACCCAAATGTAATATTAAGGCTAGGATCCAATCACAATATATTATAACTTAGAAGAGGTATGCCGTAATCCAAGCTATAACATATTTGAAAGGTAGGTGAATGACGATTCACCAATTTCCACCACGAAAACCGAAATATTAGATATTAGGTTTTATGATTGGTTCTTAGAAATTCCTAGATTCTTTGAGATTCAATGAACTTTTCAAAGGCATGTTTCAATCTCGAGTGTGCCCTCCAAGTTTTGTGACTGGGATACCGAGGATCACAAAACGAGGTGTGAAGTAACCATGCAAATCACTTGGTACCCTTAAAGTTTATCACTCAATCGATGTGCCGGTAAACCACACACGCTCCACCGATACTATAATAAACCTTAAGTCACCCTTTACCTACCTTGTTAAGTCCAAGTTAGTGTGCCGGTTAACCACACACGCTCCACCAACGACTTAGACAAAGTGTAAAGTGTAATTTCATGGATTAGCACCTTATTCACATTTTCCTAAAGTAACTAAGATTGGGAATTTAATAAAACATTTAGTTACTTTATAATATTCATCATACTTTGAATGAGAATTTATAAGTCCTTGTCTTACCCGTTCGGCTAACGACCCTCCACCAGTCAAGCAAGCGGTGGGTGAGAGTAGACACCCATTAAGTCACCATTTTATAGGCAACAACCTTATACCCACCTTATAGACCGGCTTCGTGAATGAGGCGTACTAGCGGTAAGACGACTTTGTTCTATATATATATATATATATATATATATATATATATATATATATATATATATATATATATATATATATATATATATATATATATATAATTATTAAATCATCATAATATAAGTGTAAGGGTTGAATTTTAACTTTTAAAATTCTAGGGGTTGGAACTAAAGTTTTAACTTAACTTTACTTGTTCCAAAACTTGAGGGCAAGTTTTGTAACTTTCAAAACTTTTCATTTCTTGTAACTTATGAGTTTAATAGAGTAATAAAATGAAGACTCTTCATTTTCTAACTCTTGTGTTCTTTTAATGGTTTTAATTCAAGTGTGACTCTTGGTTTTCCATAACTTGAGGACAAGTTATGGACTCCATTAAAACACATTATGATCAAGAATTAATCTACCACATAGGTTACAAATAATTCCTATGATCATCTAAAACATCATAAGAACAAGAACATGAATATGAACACATTCATAAATCAAAAATTACACTTAAAACTTTGTAATTTTGATAACTAGTTGTTGTAAATGAATTAGCAAAGACATTACACCATCTAAAACAAGTTTTCAAGTACCAAAACAGTTTAGGGTAATGTTTCTAATTCATTTCCAGCAACTAAAGTCGAAATTCTGCAACCTGTCGACCCTACTCGCCGAGTGCATGAACTTACTCGCCGAGTTGGTTGAAGATACACGTGAACTCGACGAGTCCCCCCTATAGACTCGACGAGTCCATTCGTAGAAGCAAGATTTTCGACTTTTTTCAACTTTTAAGCACAAATAAAAAGCAAACAAGCCTAGGCTCTGATACCACTGATGGGTTTTGAGCATTCTAACACTTCCTAAGTGTACATGCAACCCTAATAACCTTGGATCTATGTTTGTCTAATTATCATGCAAAGTTGAATTCCAAGGCTATATTCCTATCTAGCATACATGGGGAACAATTTTAACTTGAATGATAGATAGAATAACTTACCTTGTTGTTGCTTGTGTTCCTTGAAACCTTGTGAGCCTAGCACCCCAAGTGTGATGCCTCAAATGCTTCACACAACACCAAATGCTCTTGGAAAACTTATGAGAGAACACACACTTCTTGAAATCGGCCAAGCCCTCTTGTTTCCTTAGTGTACCGATTTTGTGGAGAATGAGATCTTATATAGTGTTGACACATCTAGGGTTACACCATGTAAACCCTAATGTGTCATGACTCTTCATTTCCATGACCCATGGGTTTGTAACTCCCATGGAGCATCCATGGAGCATCCTATGGGTGGAACCCAACTTGATAATCCATGGAGCCTCTTAGCCCACTATACAAGATATGGATGATTTACATAATCAACCCATATATTTAATTAGTTATCTTTTGATCACTTAATTAATTCTAAATTAATTCTTGATCAAACTAATCAAATAATATTATTAATATATTAGAACTTATAATATATTAATAATCTCCAAGTGTTATTTCTCTCATTTAGTCTATCCAATTGCATGGTGCCATGCAACCCAAATGGGCCATGCCGGGTCGGGTCAAGTACATACCAGAAATAGTTATGGACTTAGACACCTTATCCAACAACTATGACTATTTGTTGCCATCGAAACAGGTTATTGGACCCGACAAACATGGGTTGAAAGTACAAATTCAACGACGAAGGTAATCGGGTTAAGATTACCACCACCACACGCATCCGTAAAATCGCTAATGCTCGGTTGAGCAAGCGCGCCATGGAGAGGTGTTCTTGGCCTAAGTTCGGTGATGTCGTTCAAGAGGACGTCGGCGCCAAACTCACCAGGGTTTCTACCAAGGAAATCATCTTTGAGCGACCAAGGGCTCCAGGTACGTCATCCCTAGATCTGAAATTTCAGATAATTGTAACAATCCTTTATAATTATTTATGTGAAATTGTTAAGACATATGTAGTTGAAGAAGTTTATTACTTTATTTACATCTAGCCCTAGTTCTTTACATCGGGTTTATTGCCTAGATCAACAGTTTCAGTTGCAATTCACTATGCACATATCAATCATCATGACAATAGTCAATCACTACCGATTTAAAAACTTAGGAATCTATATCAATTTCATTGCTGTTTGTTAGATATGCAGATTGTGAATGCGAAGTTTTGTCTTTTACATACAAAAGTTGAAGACTCAAATGCAATTGGAGACCCATTAGCTCAAATGTCGAAAGGAGGAGATGTATTGATGGTATGCAGGACATGTGGGAAGAAAGGAGACCATTGGACCTCAAATAGACCTTATAAGGACTTGGCTCAGCCTACCGAGTCCTTCTCTGAGAGTCCGCACCCTTCAGACTCATCAGCCACGGGTGAATTTGGACTCTATTCCCATCATAATCACACTAATTTTCTTACACTTAGAGACCCGATGATTTAGGGAACTAATTCTTGATTGAAGTGACCGATTAAGATGAACGCATATAGTTCTTTCTTTTTCTTTTTTTGACAAGTTCCTCCACATATGAACTTCATATGTGGGTTGCCCTGTTGCAAAGCTTGAAGGATGGGGACCTAAATGTGGGAGGAGAAACAAGAAGTAAGTTTGATTCTCTGTATCACAAGGCAATTGGAAGCATTTAGAGCTGCCTTTAATCAGGTCATCATCTTTTTCCAAGATTCTAATATGCTAAATTGTTTATGGAATTAGAAAATATACAAAATAATTTTTTTAAGCTAATATTTTATCTTATTACTATCAGGTTTTTGAGGCTTCAAGTTTACAAATATTTTCTCCAAATGAGTTGGATTATTTACTCTGTGGGCGTAGAGAAATGTGAGAGGTAATTTGCTCATCTTTTTTCTACTTAAACATAAGATGTATTCTTTTTGAAAATGATATCATGTAGAGAATTCATGTTTCTTTTAAATGCAGGCTGATACACTTGTGGAACACATAAAATTCGACCATGGATACACATCCAAGAGCCCTGTAGTAATTAATGTGAGTAATTTATTTTTTTAGTGATATTTAGGGAAGATTTATAAATTTATAGTATAGTTAATATTAATAATTTTGTTTATGTCTCTTTGTTAGTTGCTTGAGATAATGGGAGAGTTCAATCCAGAACAACAAAGGGAATTCTGTCAATTTCTTACTGGTGCACCTCGGCTTCCTCCAGGTGGCTTGGCTGTCTTGAACCCTAAGTTGAACATTGTCAGAAAGGTAAAAACACCCCCCTCAACCACCCCTTGTTTTCATAATTCTATCTAGGTGAATTACGAAATTGCCCTTCCTCAATCACTAACCCTTTATTAATTACAACGCTCTTCAAAGCTCCAATAACACTGCATCAAATGCTGCGGGTGGAGTGTCGGAATCTGCAGATGACGATTTGCCAAGTGTCATGACATGTGTCAACTACCTCAAGCTTCCTCCCTATTCCACCAAGGTAAACAAACTTTTCATTTCTTTCTATCACAAAGAAATGGTTTTTTGATTGAAAAGTATTGTTTCCCCTCTTCTCAATAAGACTTTGATGCAAATCTAGATAAAAATGTCTGGATTTTAGACAAATCTGATTACATGTAGTTTTGAATCAAATTGATAAAGAAGTCACAGAACCCTAAATTATTTGTATTTCTTTTACACTTGATTTATGATGTTTTGTGGTATAAGTTACCTTTATGTCATATTCTATGTGATTTGGCCAGAATTTGAATTGGGATTGGAACTGGAATTCGATTCCATTCTAATCCCGCATCATGTTTGCAACACTGTCTCTTTATAAATAGTAAATACTCTAACTACCCTTTTAACCCTATATCTCACAAGTAAACATATCTCTTGCATTTCCATTTACTTTTCCTCTTCATATTGTTTACAAATTCCAATCTATTTCTTATCAACTAAATGTGTGAGAGAATCCAATTTCTTGAGATTCCAGATCCTTCAAATTCGAATTCCTTTGAATATGGTTCATTTATTTGTGTATTATATAGCACCATACTTTCATTTCTTTTTTTAAGACATTCTATTTTCAAATTTTTTTTCTTATCAAGGCATTATATTTTGAAAACTTTACCCAATTATAACATTCTTATTGTTTGCATTTACACTTCTTTACACGTCCCAATTTCAATTCGTTTATTTAAAAATTGATCATTTTAGGTTTTAGATTTTATTGATAACAGGTGAGACATGTGATATAGAAAGAATCAGCTAATAAAATTAGATATTCACCTCTTTTTCTATATTTTGTACGATAGTAACATACAAAATTTGTATATTTGGTAGAAACTTTGACCAGGACTTGTTTTCAATCTCTTGTGTGTGCAAATGATGTAACTACCTCTAGAAAGTTTTTTAAGAAAAATAAATTGGAAGCAAGCATACCAGATCAGCATCAGCATCAAAGGAATGCACCATGATATTAACTTCAGTTGCTTTAGTAGTTGTTATAGAAGTTTTGCCTTTTCTATTCAAAATTATAACTTAAGAACACCACCTGTTCCCTCTCTTCTAGCTTGTATTACTGTTGCTGGCTTCCAAATAAGGCCTTAATTGTGATAAACATTCTACTGTTAGATTTGGCCCTAATTTCTTTAATAGTCAACGATAGTGGGGTAGCATATTGAACGATTTGCTTAAGAAACACATTATATCTTGTCCAATTTATATTTGAATTCAAGTTATGCATAATGCCAATATTGTTGGATTAATAAATACATTATACCTAAAGAATAAAGATTGTATGATGAAAGAAAGATTGTAAATTACCAACTATTGGTTTATCATTTGCTGAGTTAACCTACATTTTTTCTGTAGTTTTATCTTGTTTCTAATATAGCCGTGAAAGAAATCATTGCAGTTGCCACCAACAGAGAAGGTAAGCTATAATATGCGAAAGTTGAATTACTTTTTAAGAAATAGCAACCTATTTATAGTTATTTGTTTATTATATCAACATACAACATCAGAACACTTCATGTTGAAGTTGCAAGAAATAGAGAAATCGAAGCATCACTTGTGGTTTAATTCAGATTCTGGGACAAAAAGGGTTCTAGGGGTATTTTTGGAATATTTAGTTTTTCTAACTTTTATGCGTAGTCTGAGGGGCTACAAAAGGTGTTAGTGTTAGTGATGAAATGTAACATCCGGACTTTTGCCAGGTATCATGTAAATTGAATTTTGTTAAATTGTTAGGGGGACTCGGCGAGTTGGAGCTCAGACTCGCCGAGTAGAGACGCGGATTGGACGATGGATCGCGCCCGGACTCGGCGAGTCCAGGATATGGACTCGGCGAGTCTGCGCTGTGTAGTGAAACCCTAAATTTCCGGGTTTGAGACCTATTTAAAGGGCCTTATGGCCGTCATTTGTTCTCACCCAACCCTTAGAGAGAAACCCTTGAGTGCTTGGACGATTTGAGAGAGAAAGGAGCATATCTTGACCTTGTGGGTGCCATTTAGCAAAGAAGGAGGTGATCCTAGGCAACAGGAAGCAAAGGAGGTTGCTATTCCGTGGATTTGGAGCCAAGATCATCAATCTAGAGGTATGATTTCGGTTTATATTCTGTTTGGTGAAGTATTATGCGATTTAGGGCTTATTATGGACATTTATGGGATGATTTGATGCCCAATGGTTCCCTCCTTGTGCTGAGGTTTTGGATCTGGATCCATAGAGGTCCAGAGAGCCTCACTCATCAAGCTTTTTGTATGGCAATGGAGTTCATGACCTTGTGTTGTAGTATTTGAGTCAAAAACATCATATATGGTCATATAGAGGTTGTATGTGCATCAAGATTGTAACTTTACGTGCTAAATGAGCTTGGAAGGACTGTATCTATGGGTTAATGGACTGGATCTGACCTTATGAGCAAGTTTGAGTCATTGCTATTGGGTTATGAGCATTCTAACACTCCTAAGTGTACATGCAACCCTAAATACCTTGGATCTATGTTTTATCTATTATACATGCAAATATGAACATCCAAGGTATTATCCTAATCTAGCATACAAAATATCAATATAACAAGATAGAATACATACCTCTTTAATGGTGCTTGTCTTCATGAAGCTTGAGTGCTTAGTGCCCCAAGTGTGACACCTCAAATGGTTCACACAACACCAAATACACTTGGAATAACTTGAGAGAAATTAGATCACTTCATGAAATCGTCTAGCCCTCATACACACACATAGTCACGATTTCTTGAGCCATGGGTTTCTTTTAAATGGTGGCTATTAGGGTTACACCATGTAACTCATGACTTTACCCATTCCTTATGCTCCATGGATTTTAACCTCCATGGAGTATCCATGGGTCACCCCATGGACTTAGTCCAACATAAGGAATCTTGGATCACAAGCCCACATATATAAGAATGAATGATTTACACAATCAACCCATATATTTAATTAGTCTCCTTTTGATCACTTAATTAATTCCAAATTAATTCTTGATCAATACTAATTAAATAACCTTATTAATATATTAGAACTTATAATATATTAACAAAACCTTAAGTGTTATTTCTCTCATTTTAGTCTATCCAAGTGCATGATGCCATGCAACCCAAATGGACCATGCCGGATCGGGTCAAGTTTTACCAATTATAGTTATGGACTTAGACATTCATCCAACAGTCTTCCACTTGGATAAGTCTAAAACTATTATTGCAAGTATGACTTCAAAACCCCGACTAGCAATCGTAGCTCTCAAAAGCTTCTGTCGAACTCTGATCTTGTAGATGAACTCTGACCTTTGTCAATGACTTGTCCATTAGATAAGGGATCATATATTCCTCCATTCTAGATATCATAAGGACTGAGACATGGATTATAATCATTCTCTCTGTCCATTTGTTGTTTCCCGATTTCCGATTTATGACAACTGACTAATTGAACAAATCAAATCAGTCCTGGCCCGGCCGAGCACTTCCATTTGTCATCATCAAATCATCGAGGGGCCCACAGATATCGCTTTTATCCCGAAGGTAAAAGGAATGGATAAACTTCGACTCATATGGCTTGTTCTACTACTTGTTGAATCATACACAAAGACACGTTTTATAACATCGAGTTACCAATGCATTTCGTGTAATCAATGTACTATCAACTCATAGTAACAACTCATATCTCTAGGTTTGAAGAATATAAGATATTATCGTCTCATGATCACTCGTGATAAAACCCATGAAGTGATTCCAATGAGCGCGGGTTGAATCCAATACTCAGAACTTATGAGCACTCATGAGTGTTGTAGCCCTTTGTCCAACATCTTAGACCTCTACAAGCCAACCCATGACAGTCTTAATTCATATCTACTTCCAACATATGACCGAATGTGGATGGTTTGAAAAACTTAGTCATTCCGGAAGAATAACCTAGTTTATTCGGGAAGTCAAAACATGCAAAGTGAAACACAATAATAATTGAATCCAATATGGTATCAAAACCTATGAACATAAATAAAACACCTTTTATTTATCACCATATGATTACATATTATTCATTGTATACTGTTTCAGCTATCAACTTTTATTCTTGAATTTAAAACAATAGTTATCCCATGCTCGAAGCATGTACACTATGTTTTCTAAACACTAGTCATGCCATACACCAAGTATGCATAATATGTTTGTCTATGATCTTTATTTTGTGAACTAGATCAATTGAACATAACTTCAATGATTCTCTTTTCACACTCCCAAATCCTTACTGCAAATGCAAGAATTCCAAATTCATGTCATTTACTGAAATTTGTTAGATTCTAAACTTATATGCATTGATCCTCTTGTAACGATTATGCACAAATTCACAAAGACTTGGCAACAGTCATTACAGAGTATTCCAAAGGAGATCAACTCCTTGGAAACATCCTTCTTGCATTAAGTTTCCTTAATCTTACGCAGATTGAAAATTCTAACTTTGAAACATTTCCAGATTCCATTTTGACTATCACTTCTGAACAAGAGTTGCCTCCTTACAGATTATGTCAATATGGTCCTTCCAGAATTATCACTATACTTCCAATTGTCCTTGAGCAACCAATCTTTGGTAAACCTTAGATTGTCCTCGACAATTGTTTAATCCTTTTAGTCATATCCAGTTCTAAACCTTTTCCCTTCTTAATGCCCCAGGCATTTGGAAAATTTTAGAAAGGATGAATATAGCACATGTAATCGATCCTATATCCGAAGCATATGGGACACGATTCATGATGTCTCACATAAAGACTAAACCAGTCTTTTGCTATAACATTTCCATTTCTATTTGCCAAGTTCTCATAATTCAGATTATGAAAAGGGATGCCGTAATCATAATCGAATTTAAGAACGCAAATAATGGACCCATATACAGAATTTCCTTATGTTGAGCCATTCCAACATGAAATTCATATATATCCTTGACTAAATGATTAAAACCTCACGATCTAAGCTTATAGATTTGAGATGAAGTATAATTTCCTCTCCCTTAATTATAGCAAAACAACTTTTCCCAATTGAAACTTTTGTTTCTATAATTAACATTGCTAGCTTGCAATACTTATCATAATTATCATGCTCCCACTAACATGATGATTATTAGCATAACACTTATGCTCCCACTAGCTTTGACATGTACTCAGAAATCAGCTGACTTCTAGAAATCAATACTTTATTGACTTACCAAAGTTCAGATTTCTGATACTAGATTGTTTTGATAAGACTTTATCAAAAACATACACCTTCCCTTAGATAGCACATTGTGTGTCTAAACAATTATGAAGAGGGATGCCGTAATCATAATGGTTAGACCTTTTTGCCACTTCTCACAAGTCCAGTTAGTGTGCCGGTAAACCACACACGCTCCACTAACGACTTTGAGAATGCAAATATCCAATTGCTATCTAGCTAAAATCTACTTAGTGGAAAGTGTTTCCTCACCATCATTTTCATGAATCAGAGAGAAACCTTATGACACTTAGATTTATTGGTGTATGAGTTCCTATCCATATGAATTTGTCAAAACCATAATCACAAGACAAGGATAATGACAAATCCAAAACCATATGGATTGAACTCAATCTTAATTTCTTGCCACCTGGCAGCTCAAGGGCCTACCATTGCTTCCAAGTTGTTGTGCAACACATTGAGAACTCTAAGAACTCATATGCAAAGCCAACTTTAACTGAATGGGCACAGAATATGTCAACACGATAGGTTATAAACCTCAAGTCGTGTGCTAGTGAAGAACTTCAGGTTTCATTCTTGATTAGTTCTTGAGACTTTCAAGACCTTTAAGACTCCCACTGTCCTCTTGACCTATAAGACTCCCTTGTCAAACATCCAAGAGATAGTGTGGATTCTAATCAAGACAAACACTTCACACAATTGGCCGAAGTTGGTCTTTGTTTTATCCAAAACATCACAACTTACCAATTTCAAATGTACAAGAGTAGAAAACTTTTACTCTTACATTTGAAGTGTTTTAAACCTTCTTTAAGACATGTCACTCAAATTACAATCTTGGAGTATGACTCTAAGACTTGTATTGGAACGAAGTATGACTCATCTTCTTGATTTAACCATTTCAACAATTCAAGATCCCTTCTTCTTAGTCATAAGAATGCACTAAGACTTCCTTAGAGAACTAATTTTGATATGGTTTCTTAATCATTAAGATGATCACAAAACTGATACTAAAGTACTCTCCCATCTTTTCAGATTTGAGAAACTTTTATCCTTCTGCCTAATTTGATTCTTCTTATTCGCTCTGCCATACTTGGAACCTTTTCCAATGTCTCAGAGTTACACTTAAGCTTGTAAGTATAATCATATTTACTGAGCTTTAGTAAACTATGACGAATAGCCTTATATCTTTTGTCGTGGACTTAATCAGTGCACATGACTATGTACT